ACATTATTAAAATACATTTCTATGAATTTCATAACCTAAGAAAGAAAAATTGGTTCATGAAACGAACAAAAATGTGAGTTTCAGTTCAGTAAATCTTACGTATTAGGAAAACCAAAGAAGAGAATACGCTAGAGTCGATGGCCTCGACTATTAGATACCCGTTTATCAGCTTAAGGAAGTGCGAGAGCGATGGAGATATGTATATATAAGGAAGCTCTTTTTTTTACACCAACACACCTAGTCAATAGCGCCACCTATCTTCTTCTTCTATAGCGCCACTTGGCTTGCAGCGCCAACTAGCCTATATCGCCCCTAGCGGCTTGGTGGTGTACTAGTGAAATCAGCTTATTTGCGTGTGCTGTGAATTCCGGATTGAATTGCAAAATATTGATTGTTATTTGAATATAACATTTTAAATTAAATTAAAATTAAATAGGTACCGCACATATTACACCTTGGCCACCCTAAGAACTCGGAGTTTTTCGTTATTCACCATTAAAGTACCTCATAAAACATTGGATAAGCATTTAATATTACCTAAACCATCCTTGTAGCTGTCTCTTAAGAAATTGCGGTTTTTCGATATTCACCTTTTAAGCTTAAACTTGCCTAATTCAATTTGTATCACGAATTCGCGGTTAGTGATTTTAAAAGCCAACAATGTATTGTAATAAATATAATATAGTAAGTTATTGATAACAATTATTTGTGTTATTCACATTATGGGACACATCCACAAATTCAATGTGGAGTGCCATGACTTTCCATTCATTCGAACTTGGGGGTACCATGTCTAGAAAGTTTCAATTTTTTACTGGTTTCCCCACAGTTCATATCAATTTTTCTCCAACATAAAAACCGGAATTTTACGCAGTGATAATTTTTACAAAAACCGAAATATTTTAGTGAAAATATTCAAACCATGGTGAGTGTAAAATTTTTATACCCGTTAATCGTACAGTAAAAGGGTATACTGGATTCGTCAAAAAGTATGTAACAGGTAAAAGGAAGCGTTTCCGATTCATGAATCAGGATCACTAGCCATGTCCGTCTGTCCGTATGTCTGTCCGTCCGTATGAACGCTTTGATCTTGGAAACTACAAAAGCTAGATATTTGGGATTAGGCATGCAGATTCCAGAGATTACTACGCAGCGTAAGTTTATTTCAGCAATGTGTCACGCTTACTCTAACGCCCAACTGCGAAAGACTGTGGCTCCTAGACTTTTAGTGCTAGACTTAAAATTTTACCTGAAATCCATTAATCTCGTCAATACCCATCACTTGAAAAAAAATTTGGGATTGCAGACTTATATTCCAAACAGTTCATATCATTTTCATATACCAGCTATGTAAAAATAAAATGTTCTAGTTCTCTTACACCAAAATAAAATTAAATTTTCCGTGTCTTTCAGGATCCTCCTGGCTCTGCGGGTCTATCGATGCATTGATGCGCAGGTCCTGCCAGAAAATCTGCCAAGCTTGCGGCCTGGCCTCCGCCTCCGTGAGCCAATTTTGGTTGATCGCCTGGTTCTGCGAGTTAGATCTGTCGATGGGTTCCTTGGGCGATTGAGATGAATGTGGCTGTTCCTGTTGCTGCAGTGGGGCTCTTGCCCTTTGTTGATCCTCAAGTGGTGCGTTGTTACAACATGACTTGCATTGACTTGCGTTAAAAAACGAAATTTTACGCAGGTATGTAACAGGTAACAGAATGCGTTTCCGTTTCTTGATTAGGATCACTAGCCGAGTCGATTTAGCCATATCCGTCTGTCCGTATGTCTGTCCGTCCGTATGAACGCGGTGATCTCGGAAACTATAAGAGCTAGGCTATTGGGATTTGGCATGCAGACTCCTAAGCTTCTTGCGCAGCGAAAGTTTGTTTCAGTATGGTACCACGCCCACTCTAACGCCCACAAACCGCCCAAAACTGGCTCATACAGTTTTGATGCTAGAATAAAAATGTTAACTGATATGTATTGTTCTCATCAATAGCTATCGATTGACCAAAAAAGTTGACCACGCCCATTTCAACGGCCACAAACTTCAATAAATCGTAAATATGAACGCCGATATCTCGTAAACTATCAAAGATAGAGAATTGGGACTTCAGATTTAGATTCCGAATAGTTCATATTTTCATGTACAAAAATAAAATTACATTTTCCGTGTCCTACAGGATCCTCCTGGCTCTGCGGGTCTATCCATGCATTGATGCGCAGGTCCTGCCAGAAAATCTGCCAAGCCTGCGGACTAGCCTCCACGTCCGTGAGCCCATCGTGGGTGATCGCCTGGTTCTGCGAGTTGGATCTGTCGATGGATTCCTTGGGCGATTGAATTGGTTGTTGGTGTTCCCGTTGCTGCAGAGGGACTCCTGTCCGTTGATCCTCGAGTGGTGCTTTGGGCGAGTGACCACTTGCGCCGTTACAAATTTCTTGCGTTGAGACCTCCAAGGGCATGCGTTTACGGTCACTATGTTCTGCATACCTGGACCCGAAATCAGATTCATTACGAAATTCTCTGGTGTATCCGACCTTCAGATGCCACCAAAAGTTCACAATCTTTGAGCACTACTGGGATATTAGATCTCTGCTGTCTTCGTCGATATAGAGTTCGATCATCTCGTTCGGACAGAGGTCCGTCACGAGATCAGGATCGCAAGGATCCACAGGGTTGCGATTGACGATAGAGTGTCGTTTATCGCAACCCTGTGGATCCCTGCGATCCCGATCTCGTGGCGGACCTCTGTCCGAATGAGATGATAGAACTGTATATCGACGAGGAAAGCATGGATCTAATATCCCAGCAGTGCTCAAAGAGTGCGTACTTCTGGTGGCATCAGAACAGAACAGAACAACAGAATGTCGGAACTCGCTAGACTAGCGGGTTTTGTCAATTTCTATTGTGCTGAGACGAATGAATAAATTTTAGAAAGTGTTTTCAATAAGTGTTGTATCCTTAAAAATTATCATTACTTTTTAGATAATTTTAAAGCTGATGAAAAATAAATTGATTACTTTTTGAAAATCTAATGCCAATGAAAAATCAATTCTTTATTTTGAAAACAGTAATGCTAATACCAAAACCAAGAGAAAACGCTATAGTCGAGTGCCTCGACTATCAGATACCCGTTACTCAGCTAAAAGGATCAAAGGAAGATTGAGATATGTAAGCAGCAAAGGGAGATTGTGATGAGCCAGCTACCTTAAAACTATTGGTGCCACAGTTTTAGGAGGTTTGTAGGCGTTAGAGTGGGCGTGGCAAATTTTTTTGGATCAATCGATAGGTTTTGACGAGACCAATACATTTCGCGTAACAAACTTGCGCTGCGTACAAGGCTACGGAATCTAAATCTGAAATCCCAATTCTCTATCTTTAATAGTTTCCGAGATATCCGCGTTCATATTTAGGATTTTTTGAAGCTTATGGGCGGCTTGTGGACCTCAAAGTGGGCGTGGCAACTTTTTTTTGGGTGAATCGATAGGTATTGATGAGAACAATACATATCAGGTAAAATTTTTATTCTAGCATCGAAACTGTATGAGCCACAGTTTTGGGCGCCTTGTGGGCGTTAGAGTGGGCGCGGCACGCAACTGAAACAAAGTAGAACACACAAACTAACAAAGGCTCCCTTAAAATTTTTATTATTTTGAACAAATAAAATTAAAAATCTTTAAGATCATTATTGTGAGTTTAGAGTAAAAATAAGTTAAGTTTCATTCAAAAATTAACATTTTTATTGAAGTGAAAAAAATCACACGCTTATAATATCTAAAAAAAAAAAATTTACTCCAAATCATTAATTTTGTTCAATTTTTAAATTCCCGTTCAGATGTAAAATTTATGATTTTTACCTTTCTGCCAACATTTTAATTCAATGCCATCAATGTAAAACTGAACACAAACAACTTTAAATGGGGAAAAAGTAAGCCAGTAAGCAAGTTAAAAAATACCCGATTGCACACAGAGAGAGTACTGACGTTAGTTAAGATATACCTTAACGGTAAGTATAAATTACTTAGTACTTAAAGCCTTGATCGTTGGAAATAGTTGAAGCCCCAAGATCGAATGGTACGCAAAAAAACACGGGGGTAGTTTGGGGTTTTTACGCGACGTGCACAGATGTTTATTTGTACACTTGGAAATAAGAACTGCTTAAGCCTAACTTAACTTAAGCGCTCCAGAGCAGAGCGGTGACTTAGGGGAGAGATGGAGAGGGAGAGCGGTCGGCAGTGCGAGCGCGCGAGATGTAGACATCTGGATAAAACTGCCGCTCGACACTACCTCCTGAAATTAAACGCCCTTTTGACGTGAATATATTGTAATATGTAATAATATACCGAAGCTATAATTTGTTTCATATTATTTTCCCACCAATTTTCCGATCGTTCCTATGGCAGTTATATTATATAGTCGTCCGATTTTGATAAAATAAATTCGAATTTCAGAACTAATTAAAAAATGTTATTTTCAAACGTAGAAGGTTATATGTAAAAAAAACACCGAAGCTATAATTTGTTTCATATTATTTTCCCGCCAATTTATAGTCGACCGATTTTGATAAAATTTAATTCAAAATTCAAAACTAATTAAAAAATGTTGTTTCCAAGCTTAGGAGGTTATATGTTGAAAATCACCAAAGATATAATTAAAAAAAAAATTTTTTTCCGATTATTCCTATGGGAGCTATAAGATATAGTTGTCCGATCCGGTTGGTTTCGACTTATATACTACCTGCAAAAGAAATAAGACTTTTGGGAAAGTTTCAGCCCGATAGCTTTAAAACTGAGAGACTAGTTTGCGTAGAAACGGACGGACAGACGGACATGGCTAGATCGACTCGTCTAGTCATGCTGATCAAGAATATATATACTTTATGGGGTCGGAAAAGTCTCCTTCACTGCGTTGCAAACTTCTGACTGAAATCAAAATACCCTCTGCAAGGGTATAAAAACAGGGAACATGCAAGAAGTGCGCGGTTTTTCTCCGCGTGTTTTATTACATTTTGATTTTTGCCACCACCATTTGATTATTATTTTCTCAGGTTAGTGAAATGTATGTAGTGTAGTGCAAAATTAAAATATGTAATTGAGTGAAAAGTTAAATGTGATTGATATTCATATCATGTCAATGTGAATTGATATCATCTTAGAAATCAACTGATTTTTTTTCAAAATAAATGTTAAAAAAGGACCGATAAAATGTTTTCTTTCACAAATAATTTATTTATAATAATTTACGGTTAAATAACTGAAAATTCTCAATAAGGAAAACTTTGGATATCAAAAGTTCTTCTGCTAACTTGATGCACATAAAAAAAATTAACTTACATTTGTTTAAGGCGTGCTCTCAAAAATTCATTTGTCGCCTTTTATTTTAATATAAAAGTAATTTATTGTATTTATTGTATTTGTATTATTTTTCAAAGTCAATTATATCAAAGCAGGTACTTATTTTTAAATTCTATAAATTTGCGTTTGGCTAATAGTTTTATGTGTTTTTTTTCTCTGTCTTTTTTAGGATTTTTGCATGCAAGTCGGGCGACTTTATATGCTTTATAGCAGCTATAGCAACGATCTGCAAAAATGTGCATACTTCGGTAAGTAAGCTGCCGTTCACATTTAAGAGAAAAATTAGTTATAACTTCCTCGAATTGCAAAGTGTCCCGATGCCCTTGGAGGAGAAAAGGTCCTCGGGGCTGGAAGGTCGGATCCAACGTTTGGAAGACGAAGTTCCCGGGATGGGCAGTGAAGTTCGCAAGATGCGGGCTGATTTAGAGGAGTTGAAGGCAGTGAACTCTGCAATACTTCCCCATTAGAACCCTGGACCACTTAAAGGAAGTGGATGATAAAACATATGGGAACATGGAGAAATATGTAAGTTTCCGCGATCAAACCGTTAATTTCTTAAATCAGAAGTTCAATCAAAAAACATCAAAGACATATTAAATAAAAATGTTTCCATATTTTTACCCTCGCAGAGGGTATAATGATTTCAGAAGAAAGTTTACAACGCAATGTAGGAGACGATTGCGACCCCATAAAATAATAAACTTAAGGAATATCATTTTTTAATATGGATTGGCGAATTTTCATCATTTGAATTCGGTCCTACAAGGGACGTCCCACTGTAATTTCCTAACATTATTTACTATTTTTTTTGATTAAAAAACTTTGAGACTTTTTCCGTGCGCATGTTAAATTAAAAGTTTTTTTTGCCTGCTTTAAATATAACACGAATGCGAGAAAATTTATATTTTATTTAAGGCATCTTTACCATGTCTGCACTAAGCACTTCTATAAAAAACATGACTTGTTAAAAGACTAACAATTTAAGTAGCGAATATTATAAATAATATATTATTGACCAAATCTAATAATATTAAATGTTCTTTAAATCTTCGCAGAATCCCATAAAGGAGACGGTTACACCCTGGTGAACTACTTCAAAGACGTAAAATATATAAGGGAATACCGGATCCAGGAGCCGAACCGCAAAAGATTCCGAATAAAATAATGTTCTAAAAATTAGACAAAAAAAAAAAGAAATTGAAATCCAGTTTTATGTATTCCTGGGTACATGTTCCAGGTGCATTAAAAAAGAGTGCGTCCAGAATTTGTTTAGTTTTTTTGCATCTAGGCGCATTCCAAATACATATATGCATCTATATGCATGCACTGCTGCATTCAACTCACTTCACTATTTTAGTTCCTACCATTTTGTTTTTGGATCAAGAACAAGAATCAACAAAAATAAGAACATTTATACTTACATGGTTTTTAAGAACTAATGTTCTCAATTCAAGCACAATGTGCTCGGGCTTTCCTCTCTGTGCAGTAGAGCTTACGAAATTATACACTAACACAACCAAGAAAATCTATCTACGCACACTAGGAAAATCGTAAATGCACATGGTTGTTACTAATCTTATAGTCAATGTATTTATGTATATTATCTTTTTTTTACCTTAATTGTCAGATTCTTGCAGCATGCAAGGGGCACTTCACGATATCGTCCAGAAAATAGACTAATTGAACGTCCCAGAAGAAATCGATGCGTTAATAAAATTCAAAATAAACAGCACCAACAAGTTTAGTTTTTCGCATTAAACAGATATACGTGTACATTTTCGTCACTTGAATATTTATTGTACTTCATTTAAATCATTTTGTATTTGAATTTTTTTACATACTTTTATGGTTTTTAATTTCATCAGCATAATTTAATAATATATATTTTTTGTATAGTATAATAATATTATAACACGTTTTTCTGCACTGTGCAAATAATTTTCCCATCAACTTCTATTCAATTTGCGAATTTCCTTTAAGTTACTTGCGTGATGGAGTGTTGATATTCAATTATCCTTGAATTCTTTAGTACAGTCTACATTAAATTGTTTTACATTTGATTTCTTTTACCGACTAACATGTTTGTGTATATTCTTTTTTTGGTTTTCTCAAAATAATTCATGTTTTTAACACTTTTGTAATAGTATAAGCTGTATACACTTATAGTAAATGACTTGAATACATAATAACAAACGCCTCGTTTACACTCTTCACAACTGTATTCATGACCCAGAATTTACATGGCGTTACTAAAAGCTCTGGAATCTTATGTATTAAGCATATTGTTTTGCGCATTCCTGTTGTCTAATCAGTGATATGAGCACTAATTATCCAGAAATTAAAGTAAATATTTGTAGGGCAATGCTACCCACCTGTCGCATGAAGTAGTATATACTTATGTAATTTGTTTAACATACATTAGTTATCGAATTTTTATTATTATCAAAATGGCGCGGCAGCGTCTTTATCAATCCATAGTACCATTAATAGTATTTTCTTTTTATGCTTACCCGATACTCAAAAAATCAATTATTATACAACTAAACAAAGGACACCATTTTTGGCTTCAAGATTCCAACTTCTAAATTCTAGAAATTAATCATTAAATTTAAATTCCTCTATAAATAAAACAATTATACTTTTCGGACTAATTCTCTGAAATTAAGGAATATATTTCTAAAAATATATTATTTAAACATTTTAAAACATATATTTAACATTTATAAGATTTTATATTTTGCTGAAGTAAGTCCCAGAAAATAGTGCATGTTTTCAAAACACGAAGATTTTACTCTATAAATTAGACAAAATAAATTTTTGGAAAGTACTTTAAGATTGTGGAAATTTTATAATACGAAATTGTGCCTACAATTCGACCACTTTTTCAGAGTTATAAATAAATGTGAGGAAATCTGATTTGCACGTATCAAATGTTGCAATCTTGAAAAAAATGGTCAAGTTCCAACGCATATAAAATCAGCTAAGACTTGAATACCACCTAAAAACATGTTATTTCATTACCTAAAGATTTGTTATATCATCCGATCAGTAACTTATTGTATTTTCGGTTTTTTGAGTACCGGGATAAGTAAAGTCGACAGCCGCGCTAGCTATATTTATTTAAGATTTATGTTGCGGCAAGGATCCCATCAATATGCATGGGAACATTTAGTATAAGCAATTAAAAGATATTCACCATTGATTACTAAAAACATTCGGAACTTTTTCTTGCGATTTGCGTTAAAGTAATTCATATCTTGCCTTCAAATTTTGTTGTAAACTCTTAATAAACTATTCTTTTTGGCATATTTGACTTACAACAACGTTAATACAAAAAAGTAAATGTACATAAAAAACAACAACAATACAATTTTCCTCCGCATTTACTACAACTTCTTTGGTGTTGTTCTAAAAGCTGCTATTATATTTTGACAACAATTTTGGAACTATTGCTGCCGGTGATTTCATCTTTTACTTTTTTCATTTCTTTATTTTATTTTTTAACTCTTTAATTGCTCGGCTCGCATTAAGCAAAGTTAACGGTGGTTTCATGTACACATTTTGTACGCACGCCCTACACTCGGCACATTGTTCCTATTTCTCTATATGTACCCCTCGACTCGTAATATCTATGCAACATTTTCTTTGATTTGCTTAGGTTTTCGGCATTTATGTAACTCTCTTCATTTGGTACAACATTTGGTACATATAGTTATACAGTTTAGGTTTTGCTTGTTAATTGAAGTAGTTGAAAAATGTGTTTTTAGCATAGAAAGCACAAAGAGAATTCAGATATCCCATATAAAGATTGTTTACCAGCAAAATGGGCTCGACAGTAAGTAGCTAATTCATATGCACAATGAAAATAGAAATATACTTAGATTGTAATAGTTCTTCGATAAGTTATCTTTTTTCGATTCATATAAAGGTATTAGTCGCGAACAACCAGGATTTCATCTTAATTTGATTTTCTAATCATTTGTTTTTATAAGGTTAACGTGTTCAAATGGAACAGTAATTTGATCTTAAAGATGCGGGCCATCACGGTTCACTCCCATCGATGTTGGCTTTAAGTTGTTAGTGTTATACAGCATAGCTCGATTTCTGCGATTGTTTGGGCGGGCAGCTCAATACATTTCTAGTCAAATAGAGAAAATTACTAAGTAGTCATAGGACAATATATATTTAAAAACGCACAAGGTATTCGCGCAAGTTAGTTCAGTTTTTGAAACAACTTAGCAGATATTATTACGGAAAATCTAAGCTTGACGACTTAAAGTTTTGCAACATCAGTAAATTTAAGAATTTCCCCTAAATAGTGGCGATTTTCGAACTGTGTTTCATTTTCACTGCACATAAAGTTGGGGCTCGTGAGTTCTGGCATGTACGCGTGAAATGAAACTGTTTTTCATTTTGGAAGCGAAAACTATATATTGCAAATGAACTCATTTGAAATTAAATGGCAACTACTTGCGCAGCATCTTGTGCATTTATTTATTAAAGGGTATTTTTTTAACATTTTTTGTGGGGTGATCCGAGGCATGGATGGACATTTAGGAGTATATAGGCCTTGCCACACCCGGGGTAACAATTTGTACTACTAACCAAATGAATCATCATGGGTTTTCCAGTTGGCAAAGGGCAATACGTGCTCAAACGGATCAACATCACAATTTCAAATAGTATTGGTAGGTATTGTCCCCATTACTGACCGTTAATCGCAGGTATTTCTAGCTCAAGGCACCATGAAAATAATGCGGGCATTTCAAGTAATAACTCACCTTTTACCAACTACTCTCAATACATTTTCTTTCAGGGTACATTTTCACAAATTTTCTGGAATAACTATGACTTTTCACGTCATAAAGTCATTGTTATCGCAGGCATTTTGCGAAGATTTACGTTAAGACTAACTTTGTTATTTAACTTTGGGTCTAGTATTCTCGAACGTGGCTATAACTTTCATCGTTACTGCTTATACTTTGAAGAGGGCTATATAGCTTTGAATAACCTTTGGAAAGTTGTTTCCAATGCGCAGAAAGATCATATACATTGTATACATTACAGTATATCTGCCGCCAAATCTAAGCTCCGTTTATGTTTCGATTTTACAACTGATCGGAGGCGACATTAACAGGAGTCAATACAACTGTTAGCACATTTTTTCCATTTCATTTAAATTCTTTCTGCTGTCACTATTTTTTTTTTGTAATTCTAATGAGCCACATTAGCCACCTCGTTTTGTAAATAAGTATGTACGTCTGTAGATAAAGTATATATTTTTTGTTGCATTCTTAGACCGTTTTCCGTTAATTTATATTGAAATTTTCAGCAATAAACCACTGTGCCTCGTTGGTGGTTTCAAGAACATGAGAAGCATTTAACATTAACATATACACTCAATTATTTAAATACTTACATTTACATAATATGTTTGCATGTACGTATTATAATAGATACTCCGTATAATAAACTTAGCTACCCAGGCCTTACTTCTTGTATGGCTTCCTTTTCAGCAACTTGTTGACCACCGTCTTGAACAGATTTGGCTTTATTCATAAGTATCCCAGTGTGGCATACGTCTTCACGAAGGTGCCGTCGTTCGTGCTGACGTTCCTGTGGAGGATGGGGAGTGGAAACCGGTCTTAGCCAGGATTAGGGGTGAATCTGATAGCTTTATACTAACTCGTCTTCCCAGGGACACACCGCATTGTGATCGGCGTCGATGCTGCTTCCGCCAGCCCTTTCGCGCGACTCCTTATCCTTTTCGTCCTGCGAGCTAAGTTTCTTGCCCTCCGAGTTTCGTTTCTTGCGCCGCTTGCGCGCTTCTTCGTTGCTGGATGTGGGCGTGGCCGTAGCCGATACCGAGGCGGAGGCCGAGGCCAACACCGTGTCCCTGCTGCTAGGAGGAGGGGGCGGGGGCTCGAACGGCTCATCGTCCACCGTGTCCACGTCCAGCTCAGCCAGCGGTGCCATGGAGGGAGCCGGGGTGGGTGCAGGCGGTATATAGCCCACGTCTATGCTGTCAAAGTCGTCGACTGCGTCCTTGGCATCGCTGCCAAACTGCAGTCCCTCCTGGTACTCGTCAGTGGTGGGTGAAAGCTCGTCCAAAACCGGTCCTTCTATTTCGGCAGCCTTTTCCGTTTCGTCCGCAAACTCTGGATGCTCCTCGGTGGTGGTGGTGTTTATCTGTGCTGGACACCCGCCTGGATCTGCTGCTCCGGGCTCAGAAGATAGGGGTGTAGTTGCTTCTAGCTCCAGGACTTTAATGGTGGGCGGACTTCCTGGTTCTGTGTGGACACTACTGCCCTCCTCGATCAGTTCAATCTGGACTTCTTTGACTGTGGTCACTGTAACCGAGGCCTCCTTTACTGGCTTGGTTTGGGTTGAGCAGGAGATTTCCGCGGTCCCTGTGGAACTGGCCGCCACCTGAACCTCGCATTCTCCCGGCGCCGGCGTAATCTTTGTCATGGGCGGCGGGGTCTGCGTGGGGGTGGGTACTATAAGGAGTGGCAACTCCGATGTCGAGGAGTCGCCAAGGGACAACTGGTTGAGTTCCTCCTCCAGTTCCGCATCGACATCAGAGCCAGATGGTGGATCCTTTGCGATGGCGCCACTACCGTAGACAGCACTACGTGCCTGCAGCGGGGTGGAGCTACTGGTCACCACAGTGGGTGACGATGTCGTCGTTGGAGCCCGTCCCAGCTGGAAATCCGGAGTACGGCTGGCAGGCAAACAAAAAAACCTTTAAGTATTCCATGCTATGGTATGAAGCCCCATGGTTACCTTGGAGTAAATGAGACTGAAGCCCGACGCTGTTCTGGAAAGTTGGGAACCAGACGCTTGATGCCTGCCTCACCACTGTCCACGGTGTTCTGATGGCGAATGCCCAAATTACGCTGCATTCGGTCATTCACATCGCTGTTGTCCGAGGAAGTGCTGTGCTCAAAATGTAGTAAATGTAGTTAGTTGCTGGTGATACCGGAGTTGAAGCTGTTGGTAAGCACCTACCTGTTCAACCGCAGTGGCTGCCCGTTGGAACTTGAGATCTTCGACGGTCCTCCTCCTCCTGTGGCCGGAGTGGGAGCCGGCGGCTCTGTGGCACTATCCTGTTCCCAGGGACACACGGATAGCTTTAACTGCGCTGGCGGCGGCGGGACTGGTTCGGCTGGTTCGTCCCAAGGACAGACGGCACTGCTGGCCGCCACAACCAGAGCTGTGGACGACGACGTGGACTCCGTTGTCTCAAGGGCGGTGGTCTTCGTCTTTGGCGTTTCTCTGCGGGGCAATACATATGCATACAAACAGGCATTATGGTGGTTTCCAAATAACTCAGTTTCTATACATTTAGACGGTGGTTAAAAGGAATGCTGGTGTTTAACACGTAGACTTACATATATGCATATGTACAATTGGTAACAGAAAAGGGGTAAGAGGCTCATGGGAGAAGCATCCGAAAAAGAAAAGTCAAGTCGGCCATTTATTTTTTGTCGAAATAGTTACAGAACACACACAATATAACAACAGCAAACATTCGAGCATAGCAACGATTGAAACTATATTCGGAGACAGTTGATAATAAAGTCAAGAAAAAGAGGCGAGGCGAACAGGACCGGTGGTGATTTACATATAGAATCCGAGGGCAACTAGAAGTTCGCCTGACAGATGACAGGACAGCAAGTGGTAATGCCAAAGTCGAGGACCCCGACTTTCAGATACCCGGTACCCCATTTACAACAAAGAAGCTGTAACTTGGCAAGAATAGTTATTGGCGAAGTCGACTTAAATGGAAGCCGTATCGGACTTATCAATACGATTTCATTTCATACATACTAGAAAGTTGGGTTGAGTCTGTGGTGACGTTAAGCAAAAAGACCCGTTGAAGCTCAAGAATTCGCGAATACATTTTTTTGAATCTTTGGCGGACAACTCTCTCAATCTCGTTACAGGATATTGTTCAACGACATCAGTTGTATCACAAATAAATAGCGGTTAAATGTTAGTGTTTTTTGATTTTGAATAGAGAGCTTAGATAACCACTTTGAAGTGATATTCTCGACTAAAAAGTGTGCCGTCTGACCAGCTGAAGAATTCGCGGTAAGCTTTCAAGTGTACAATTTGAAAGACAAATTTGAGACACCAAAGCAAGAGATTTTTGGTAGTACCTATAAACTGAATTTATACAAATTAAAGATAGTGTGGAGTACCGGTTATAATGAAGGTTTTGTGGTGTAGTTAGACAAGTAAATACACAAAAGATTTTTATGTCGCCCATTCCTCCGCAATTGGAAGACATATTGTCATTTTAACATAACTATTTATAACTGAAATTAATTTTTTTTTACTACAGCAGTTTATGCTTTACATTTGGTTTAACTAAGGAGATATTTTCATGAATTCTTTACCAAAGCTGGGACTTTCTGGTCACTTTAAACAAATTAAAGGTCTCTAGAGCAACGTTTAGCATCCTTCTTAAAACCCTTACTAAAAACCCGTCTTCAAAAATGGGTAGAAAAGGCGACAAGGCGATAGAAACAGAAGGAAAAACGTAGGTGTTGGAAGGTTGGGTCTAGGGCACAGATCGAACGATAAACACAAAAAAAATAGAAAGAACACTAGCATTACGTTTTAGGATTGGAAAGTTTTTTATTTAGTACAAGTGGTAAGCGTTTCGCAAAACCAATGAATAAACATGTCTTACGGAAGTGCCTGCAAACTACTTTCGCGATTCCCGTAGGCCGCATAGATCCCAATATCCATGACCGCCATGTGGCGCTGTGGCATATCGCCTCGATAAATTGAATCGCTACTGCAGTGCGTGTGTGACGTATGACATATATATGATATAATCAATTGTTATAGTATCGATTGTTCAACTGGGTTCAAGTTTTTTCAAGATGTTTGTTTTCGCTCTAGGGTCTCGTGCGCATTGTGAAAAAGTTTGTATAGTATATGTATATGCTGACCAAACCAAAGGCTCTGTTGCCAAAAATAATAACGATGTTTTTAGCTTGGCTCTTTCAGGCAAATCAAACATTGCGAAAAATCAGAAAAATTAGCTCGTTCAATAGAATCAATCATATTAAACCGACTTACTCAACACCTCTCTCGGCAAAGGTCTTTACTTACCTGAAGGGAATTTCGCTGAGATTACTCTGGGAATGAGAGTGCGGTACCTTGGAACCCGAATCCTTGTTCACCCCGATCACGGCCAGTTCGTGGGCGGAACCCGTGAGACTGCGATCGCTGCCACGGCGCCTGGCCAGGTTACCGGGCGGTGGTGCCTGCATCATGGAGCAGCTGCCGCCGCCAGTGCCACCAGATCCTTTGGCCGCATCCCCCAGGTTTGGCTGGCTGCTCAGGGCGGCTGTCATTTTCTTCTTGGCTCCGCTAACGCCGCCAAAGTTAAAAAACCGCTTCTTGTACGACGGCTGAATGCCGGTGTCCAGCAGGCGTTTGTAGTGCTCGGATCGAATAAATCGTGGGTAGCAGTCCTTCTTCAGCAGCAGCATGTAAATGTGCTCCGAGGCCGAGTCGAAGGTGAACCGCGATGGGTTTTTCAGGCCCCGGAGCACGCTCTCCATGGTCTTGCCGTCAATGTTTATCTCGCACGGTGCTCCAGGCTTTAAAAACTCTCTGAAAAAATATGTATTTAGATGTATAGATCTAACAGCCAAATTTACAGCGGTTACTCACTCGTAAATTTCGTTGACCTTTCGTGCCACCTGGGAGTGAGCGGAGCGGCGCAATCGATTGACCGCTATCCAGAAGCGGATGTTTTCGTGCGAGTACTCCTTCTCCAGGAAGCCGGTGAACTCCTGCAGGCCTGTGGGATCGGAGACGAGCTCCTCGATGGAAATGGCCCAGCGCTTGACCCGCTTCTCTGTGGGAATGTCCACAAAGGTGTTGTTCAGCTGCCAAAAGGCAATATCCTCGGTCACCCACGGATTGGAGGGCAGTGCCGGCTGCAGAAAGAAATCGTATTCGGAGAAGGTCTCCGAGTAGCAGACGAGCGACTCGCAGGCCTGCGACATCTTCATCCGCGTCCGATTGAGCGACTTGCCCAAGTAGTCAACGTCGCGCTGCATGTCATCGACAGTCTTTTTTTTATTGGGCTTGAGGCCCTGACGATCGCGCGAAGGCACTGGACAGGGCTCCAAGGGAGTGAACTGGCCAGGTGGTGGACGGTGAACTCTCCAGTAAGCTCGTTCCTGCGAGTCTCCCACGATCTTGTCACCCTTCTTGCGCTCCTTCGCCAGGCGCACCTGCTCCTCGGCCTGCATCGAGATGAAGTCCCACTTGCCCTTCAGGTTCTTGTGCAGCGAGGCCAGTGCCTCGGCCTCGTAGTCCTCCAGTGCGTGCCGCTGCTTGTTGCGCAGCGATCGTTTGGCCAAATATATGGCATACTCCACATTATCCGGCGCCTTGTGCTGCCAGGGCCAATAGTAGGGTGTCTGGAACCGATACAGCGAGGAATCGTCCTTCACGGTCAGCGTCTTTGAGTCGTTGACCGGAAAGAAGTAGCCGTGCAGACACAGTTGATTAGCGATGTTCAGGGCCTCCGACTCCTCGATTTGCAGGCGGTCCATCAGCCATTCAATCAGATCGTATCCTACAAGCAAGGCAAATATTGTTAGGCAATAAGTTGAAAAGGACACATACATATACAATGTTAATAAGCTAGGAATAACTGACAACGTACCCATAAACGCATATGGTATGGATGTGAGGAACATTTTCTGCTGCCGCACGGGCACACCGTGTTCCTGGTCCTGCATCTCACGCACCAGCATTTCCATCTAAGAAATACAAAAATTCGAAATGTTGGCCAGGACTTGGGAACTCAGTTGACCCACCTTATCGAAGGCCATGGGTCGCGATAGCTTCTCGATGGCCTGCTGCTGGTTACCACTGCCGCCACTGGAACCAATGAGTCCACCGCTCGACCCAGTGATGGATATGGAGCCGTGGTGGTGGGCTTGTGGCGCTGTACTCGGTGCATTGGTCGGATGCGGTTGCTGCTGCTGCTGCTGTGGGGCATGCGGATGCTGGTGATGGTGCTGCGGGTGGTGGTGACCCACCGAGCTGCCGCTAAAGGCAGTGGCTGCCTGGGTTGTCGCCGATATGGCCGTTGCGGTGGAGGCCAGGGCGGGACTGCTGCCGCTATTGGCGTTCCCGCTGCTGCTGCTCGTGGCCGTGGCAACTGCGCTGGTGGCATTGTTGTTGCCTCCGGCCGATGGGGACAACTGTTGCATGGCCTGGAGCACGGCATGCGGCTGAAGACTCAGACTGGTTGGCTTGCTGGGCAGCGGCGACGCCTGTGACTGTGCCGGTGGTTGCGGGTTGGGCGTGGTTGCTCCCGGTCCAGAGGGTGGTGCAGAAACGATCACGGGCACCAGGGCAGCTGACTGATTCCGGAGCACCAGCTGCCTATCCCTATCCGGCGGCACTCCGCCGGGTGGTTCCATGACCGCTGTGCCCGCTAAAGTGGCGGCTGTTTTGCTGCCCTCTCTGGCCCGTCGGCCTTTTCCTCGTCGTCGTCCTCCTCCTCCTCCTCCTCCTCTTGGTCCTTACTGATTCGCTGAGAACAGTTTGGTTTGGGTGGTATATATCAGAGTTGCTTTGTTCGGAAGTATGCTTTCATTTACGAACTCTATAAATATCTCTTCCATTCATGATCATTAACGAGGCTTATAACCGCTAAATGAAGTACTCGGTGAAAATGTCCTAATTTGATTTGTTTACGTGGTTCTCGGTTGCAGTTATCCGAATTCCATCATGTCCTTGTGTATGGAGATATTTGCTAGAATAACAAATAATAACTTGTAAATAAATCGAACATTCATTATTTTCAATTGACTGTTTTTGACAAAAACAGGGACCAAAAATAACAATTATATTAATTTTTTTAAACGTAAAAATCGCACAACCCTAGAAGCAAATGATAAATACCAAAATAATTCAGTACGCCCAATCTATGAATTCCCGCCATGATTGTAAAATTTATATTTATGCACTGGCAGAGGGTATATTGATTTCAGTCAGAAGTTTGCAACGCAGTGAAGGAGACGTTTCCGACCCCATAAAGTGTATATATTCTTGATCAGCATGACTAGACGAGTCGATCTAGCCATGTCGCTCTGTCCGTCCGTTTCTACGCAAACTAGTCTCTCAGTTTTAAAGCTATCGGACTGAAACTTTCCCAAAAGTCTTCTTTCTTTTGCAGGTAGTATATAAGTCGAAACCAACCGGATCGGACAACTATATCTTATAGCTCCCATAGAAATAATCGGAAAAAAATTTAAAACAAGAAAGGAAGTTAACTTCGGCAGGCCGAAGTTTGTATACCCTTGCAGCTATAATTATTAAATTTAATTCAAAATTCTTAAAAATACAAAAAAAAATATTTTCAATAGTAGATGATAATATGTCAAAAAACACCAAAGCTATAATTTGTTTCATTTTATTTTCCCAACAATTTTCCAATCGTTTCTATGGCAGCTATAAGATATAGTCGTCCGATTTTGATCTAATTAAATCTGAAATTAAGAACTAATTAAAAAAATGTTATTTCCAAGCGTAGGAGGTTATATGTTAAAAAACACCAAATTTTAACAAAATCGGACGACTATATCATATAATAATAATTATTTCGATAAAAAAGGCAAGAAAAAGAGAAAGCTTCGGAAACCCAAAGTTTATATACCCTACATACCCTTGCAGCTTAAACCATATCATGCTACTTAAATTATACGTATACGAGTATTACAGAAACCGTATATTCAAAAGATTTGTTTATATATTTAAATATTCCGATAGTTACTTTAACAGCTATATAATACAGCCGTTTGATTTTTACAAAAAAAACCGTAATTCTGAAATCAGAAATATTGATACACCCCAGAATATAAAAGAACATGATCAAAAAGAACGAGGCAAAATTGTTTTAATATTTTTTGCTCTTAATTATATCCGTTACTCGTAGATTAAAGCGGTATACTAGATTCGTCGGAAAGTATGTAACATGCAGAAGGAAGCGTTTCCGACCCCATAAAGCATATATGTATATATTCTTGACCAGGATCACTAGCCGAGTCGATCTAGCCATATCCGTCTGTCCGTCTGTCTGTCCGTCCGGATGAACGCTGAGATCTCGGAAACTATAAGAGCTAGACTATTGGGATTTGGCATGCAGATTCCTGAGCTTCTTACGCAGCGCCCAAACAATTTTTATGCTAGATAAATTTTTAACTGAAGTGTATTAGTCTCGTCAATACCTATTGATTGATCAAAAAAAAGATTGCCACTCCCACTCGAACGCCCACAAACTTTAAAAAAGGTAAATATGAACGCAGATATCTCGGAAACTATCAAAGATAGAGAACAGGGATTTCAGATTTAGAATCCGTAGCCTTCAGCGCAGCGCAAGTTTGTTACGTCAATATGCCTCGCCTACTCGAATGCCAACAAACCGCCCAAACCTGTGGCGCCCACAATTTTCATGCTAGATGAAAAATTTTAACTGAAGTGTATTAGTCTCGTCAATAGATATTGATTGATCAAAAAAAGATTGCCACGCCCACTCTAACGCCCACAGACCGACCAAACCTGTGGCACCCACAATTTTCATGCTAGATACAAAATTTTAACTGAAATGTACTGGTCTCGTCAATACGATTGATCCAAAAAAAAGTTTGCCACGCCCCTTCTAACGCGCATAACGCTTAAATCTGTCTACCGCCCACATAACTATATATTGAGATCAGGGGTAGGTGGCGCATTATAGTCTCGCTTTGCTGCTTGCATATCTCCATTTCCCTTTGGTCCCATTAGCTGAGTAACGGGTATCTGATAGTCGAGGTACTCGACTATAGCGTTCTTCCTTGTTAGGGTTGGAAACGTCTCCTTCACTGCGTTGCAGAATTCTGACTCAAATCATAATACCCTCTGCAATGCTTTGACGAACTAACAAACCAAGAATTCGTTCTTATCCAATATGGCAAATGTCTGTTTTTTTCCAGCTTTAACCTCTATTTTCTCAGAATCATTGCGCAGGCGGAATTTTTTAAATAGAATTTAAAGCAAATAACAATTTCTAGCAGTCATTAGGTAAATAAATAAAGGTCAAATGTTGTAACACAGTGTAATAGATCTGCCCTGAAAAAGCTGAAGCAAAAAAGAGTTTTTTCTGACTAAAGTGGACTGTGTTTAACCAACACTAATTACTATTCAACTTAAAAGGTGTATGTTTCAATGTTAAATACCTATTTTAATTAATTAATCACGACCTTGAAGCCCCAAGCATAGAACCCCGCAAATCAAAAAACAACCGTATCTCATAAAATGCGCATCCCCTTAAAGGGCTCAAGGTCAAGCTACTTGTTTACTGCTAGTACATATTGTTTGTATGTACATACAGTGGTTAACACGCCTTCTTAACAAACTTACAATGTTTCATGATTCGGTCGGGTTGGCTTCCCTTTTCCTTCCGTTAAATGTGACGCCCCCTGTTTCGCCGCTGAAGACCTTCTGGAGTGCCCTCTTCTCGCCCAGCTTCCTTTAGCACCGACCGCAAGATGTTGAATTGATGCTTAAATTGATTGGGACTCCTTTTATTTCTTCTATCCATAAATAGCACGCTTTTGTGGCCTCCAAGTGGCGAGTTTTCAGCGTAAGGTCTTTAAAGGTGGTGTGTGCAGGTGAAAACCTACAAAAGACGCACGAATGAAAGTACATCAATTTAAATGCAGTTCCGTTTATACACATCTTGTTTTAATTTCGTTTTTTTACAAACTGGTATTTACATGGAAATACTTTTCATTTTAATCCAAATCGAAAAGCTTTCTGTTTATGCGATAAAAAAAAGTCTGTCCATCCGAACAAATATATGTTGTTGTTCTTACAATTTGAATGAGATTTTCTGGGTTGTGATAGAATTGGTTAACTGTATCCTATAGCAAGGGTATTTACATTTCGGTTGGCCATGTGTAGCTATTCTCGTTGTTTGTTTGTGCGTGCTGCCCGCGAACTTGTATAACCATTTTGTCATTAACACACGCACTTTGCCCTACCGACCTCCATCCGTTCTAGTAAAGTAGAAGGAGAAGTACACCTATAAAAAATATGATAGAAAATTATACTTGCTTGAAAGTAACATCAAGAGTATCATAACTACACAGAGAAAACTATCCAAGTTCTTGAATTAAGAACATTCGTTCTTAAAAACCGTGTAAGTACATTTTGGTATCAATATAAGAACGAAATGGTGAGAAGAGAAAAGTTAAATTGAGTTTATTTAACAACTTTTTGATAAGTATACACTAAGGACTGAACTAATAGTTTTTTTGTACATACAATGTACTTAAACACCGCCAATTCAACTTGATTCGAGCAAAATGTCGTTCCAATTTTAAGAACATTTTCAACTCAGATGAGAACTTAAGAATTTTCTCTGTGTGTGTTCGAAATACCGCAGTTAATTTCAACGCCTCACTCTAAACAATGAAAATTAACTTTATTCTATAGTAAAAATAGTCCGTTCATGTAAATATACATTTTACTTGTAAATTCCGAATTGATATTGATATTTCTGTATGTGTTGTTGAGTTGAACCACTTGCGTGCGACTCCAATGTACCAGCTTTACTGGGCGTCTTTTAATGATAGCATTTAAAAATAACAAAGGCTGTGACACCAATATGGAAACTATAAGTTGTATGGTAACATCGCCCTCAAGAACTGGTCAATGGTAGGGGTGGTGGCAGCGGCGTTAAGGAAGATTTTAGATGTGCCATCGAGCGCACAAATTCTGTGCTTTTAATGTTTTAAGATTGAAATGTTAGCTTTAAAGCCATTCCCAGCACAAAATTCCTGCGGACTTTTACGTTTCCCATTGTCAATCTAAACATCCGCAGGGCAATTTCAATCAATAATGCACTCTTTCCGCATCGATTCACTCATTTGTCAATCAAGCAGAGCTGAGCTCTGGGTTCATGCAAAGCATTAGAAGGCTCCTGCGCAAAGAGTTTCTGCTTCTACCTAGCAAATTAAAAAGGATTTAATTAAATTATGTAAGATGTGCGCTGTGCGTACTTAGCGAGGGCAAACAACTCAAGCGGCAGGCGGCACTGTGTGCACGTACACTTGCATGCACCAATTTAATTGGTAACTTGAGGAGGTGAGGACTTTCCGGAAAACATCGGACTTTAAAATTGATTATCTCATCGCTTAGTTCCGGAAGTACTTGCAATTACCGGGCCTTCGACTTAGGCGAGAGTACGATTATATTTTCGGGGTGTACAATGATATAACCTAATCTACATTGTTTACCGTCGAAACAGAGTTGAGGTATTACGTAAGTTAAATTTAATCTAGAATTCCTTTCTCTTTATAATACTGGAACATTGTGATATATCTTATTTAAACAAATAGAAAACAAAAAAGATACAATTGGGCCACATTGTTCATTGTTATTGACCAGAATTAAGGTATTAAAGGGGGTTTACGGGTTTACGGGTTTACGGACTTCCTGTGCCAGGGCTCGCTGAGTGGGAAAGTTTGCTTTACTATATTTAATTTGTTTGGCGAGATTTGCTGTTCTAATTTTGATAAGTAGCGCTGATTTCGTTGGGCTTTGTTCCCGCTGCTGATACATTTTCCGAGCCTCGACCACCAACCCCGCCCCGCCATGGCCCCCTTTTAAATGTGACTTTTGTCATGCATTTGTCGCAGGCGGCTGCCCTTGTCGTTGTCGTCGTTACTGGGCCGGAAGTTGGTTTCAAACTGTTGGCAAATGAGTTTCCGTTTGCGAGGGAGGCTTCCTGCCCTCCGCATTGTTGTTGTTGACTCTTTGGCTGCCTCTACGTTTCCTCCTTTTTTTGTTCATCGGCTGTTACATACTCGCACAGTAAGCAGAAGTTTATTAATTTGCCGCACATCGGTTTTGTCCACATTTTATTGCATGTGTACGTGTGTTTTTTTTTGTATATCCCAGTATATTTTATTTGTTTAGAAAGTTTTCAACCACGGCTCCATATTGCAATTTTCTGACGCTTGGTCTTCCCTATAAATATGCCATTGGACTTTTGTTCTAGGTTTTGCAACAGATGAAAAATTGCAAAGCTCAATAAACAAATATTCGTTTCGTTTGTCTGTCTACACTTGTGGACCTCTTAATAACTGATTGAACAAATAAATATAGACTTAATGAGCTGCATGGCGAATACATTTATTAGACCGGACTATGAGATTAAACTGGCGACGATAGCACCTTCATCTTACAAACGTTTAGATATCAATATATCATATATATTCGACCAAATAAATATACTTTTTAAAATGTTCCGAGTGATTTAAGGTAGTTAAGATTCCCACCTAAAAAAGCTATTTTCTGGCAGCTTGTCGAATGAGTAAATGTTAAAATGAGGTGTAATTTGTCACTTGTTTTTAGCAAAAATACAACTATGCTAATAAGAGCATAACACTATCTACATTTTGAGGTTTGCACTTTTACCACTCCTTTTTCTATACAATTTTCCAAAGGTCTTGCAATACTTTAAGTTTTTGCAATATAGCATATATACAGTTGCGGGCAAATTAATAGTATGGCGGAATATGAAATGATTACAACAATTTCTCGAGGTATATCTTGATTTTGCTCTTAATTTATAAAGTATATATATTCTTGATCAGCATCACTAGATGAGCCTAGCCACGTCGTTCTGTCTGTCCGTTTCAAAACAAACTAGTCTCCCCAGTTTTAAAACTCTCGGAATGAAACTTTCTAAAACGTCCTCTTTCTATTACAGGTAGTTTATAAGTCGGAACGAGTTGGATCGGACAACCATATGCCATTGGAATGATCGGAAAACTAATGGAAACAAGAGTTCTAGCTTTGTGTGTATTTTAATCATATCTCTTCTACTTAGGGTACAGGGTGATTTCGAATAAAATTGTTTTTTAATTGGACGACTAACTGCCATAGGAAGAATCGGTAAATAATGTACACAGCTATAAGCTTCGTTGTATTTGATCATATTTTCTTCTACTCCTGTGCCCCACAGCATTATTAAATGATTTCCGAAATTCGAATTATTTTATGTAAACATCGGAAAACTATATCATGTAGCTGTCATAGTAACTAACTATTTATTTATATTCAAATCGCCCGAATATACGGTTCCTGTAATATACATACGTATGATATTACTTACATAAAATGGTTTAAGCTGCAATGGTAGATTAAGTTCTGCTTGCTTTGTTTTTATTTTATTTTCAAAAAGTTCATAAACTAGTAGAATAGTAGTAGAATAGTATAAGAAATAAAATGAGTCCATTATGCTCCATCGGTATCCCCAGCTCCGATTTTCCAAATTTCGTTTTTTACGTTTACCCCATTTGTATTTTAACCAATTGACTTAGGGTCGAAAAAAGATATTAGTAATTTGAAGACAATAAGAACACCTTTTGATCGGTGTACCACTGTTTAAATTTTTCGGCTTTATAGTAGTAGTACCTAATATGTACATAGTAGCGTACACGAACTAAATCCCTAATACGATATCTTGAAGCTGTGTTAAAAAATCCTAAATGCATTAAAGTACTAAAAAACAAAAGTAGTTGCAATAATCTTGGCAACTTAACAAACTCGTAAACAAGGCCGAATTAACCATGAAAAAGTAGATGTACTCTTGTAGTCTAGGGCACACACAGCACAAACACGGGATGCAAATTGACTTTGAAGAAGCATTTAGTCGGCTCTACGGGCCAGCTTACAGTACTGAGTACTGACTACTGGGGATTGCTCAAGATGCCTATGGCTCGCAGTGGTAGGGGCTTATCTTTGCATTGATATTGATTACCATCCCGTGCAGTGCAGTGCGCACGGCGTAGTTGATGCGATTACAGCTGGCTGCTGTGCTCTTGAGTTGCCATAAGCAGGGGCTTTGTTAAAGGATTACTTTAAGATGCCCCATTGTTTACGTTCTTTTGAGGATTTAATCTTCCCACACATTACTTTGGTCAAGGCCACCGAAACACTGACGCTACCAGCCACGCCCACGCCCACGCCCACCTTGTTTTTCCAACTGCACCAGTGCATTAGGACTATGCCTAGGTACTTTCCTAATAACTGATGAAATCAGATCTAAACATCAGCATCTTAGGACAGAAAAATACGGCAATCACAGTGGATACGCCTGCGATGTATTGTGAAAGAAATTAATTCAAAACAAAGTCCAAAAACCTGTAATACTTGATTTATTAATTTTTGAAAACCCCTGGTATTCTATTATTTATTTTATCCGACAAAGCTACATCAACTTAATTGAATATAGTCATATGCATATATTCAGAGATTTTGACATCGATTGTAACCTTTAACTAAGAATGTAGAGTTTAAGTTTTAACCGATACAAACTTCCGGGAAATGATTTGAAAAAGTGTATAACCCTTTTTAAATTCTAATGGTCATCTGATATGGGCGGCAGGCATTATTTTAGCGAACTCGGCTGTCTGCACATGGGTATAGTTGCGATCGTTCCGCCTTTTCCATCATGATCTGGCTGAGTAATTACGCCGTAAATGCGAAAATAACAGTGTGCAGTGTACACTCGGGCATCATCACTTCCACGTTTGTGTTGGGGTTGTATGTACTGGCTGCTCAGGGCAAAGTTGGTTTGTTCTCTTTCAATATTTGGATATCACTACAATGCAAACAACCATATCTGCCTGGCTTAAAATGCGTTATTACTAAGTATTCCCTTTAATATAGCAATATAACTGGACAATTTTCCTGGATTCGTAAAAATTTAAGGGCAGTTTACAGATCGACCAGACGTCGGAATATTTTTTACCAAGACACCACATGCACTCACACATTAGGAAAATTGTTGAAATACATTTCACGTGCGTACGAAAAAGAAAAGATAAACAAAACCCGGGACGACGATCAGAGTAGTCAATATCTAAGAGGGACGATGCGGACTAAAGACGCTAGCACCGAAATTCGTAAAATTCCGAAATGTTTTGTTAGGCCTAGCATTCAACCCAACAAAAAGCCGTCCAAAACCAAAAACTTTATATAAAAAGAACGTCGCAAAATTGTTGTCAGGTTGAGTAATAGGGCTTACTTGGGAAAGTATTCAAAAGTATGCAGAATTAGGTATATGTATATTTGGTCCAGAGCTCCGATATTATTCATTGCATACTTTGAGGTACGTTTTTAGGTGGTTTCTGTTACTAAACTCATCAGTTGTGGATTTATCTACGCAAGAGATTATCGAGAACTTCAGCTCTTTATGACTTGTTAATTTAAATAAGGACTACCTTTATAAACATTGAAGTACAGAGAGAAATATTCAAATACATTGTTCTTGAATTAGGAACATTCGTTCCTAAAAACCGCGTAAGTGCATTTTGGTATCAGTGCTCTCAATATTAGAACAAAATGCTGTAAAGAGAAAAGTTAAACTGAGTTTATTTCACTTTTTGAGAAGTATACACTACTGACTGGACTAATTGTTTATTTGTTGGTATATACAATGTAAATACCCCAAATTCAACTTGAATCTATTTTTAAGAACATTTTCAACTCAGATGAGAACATCAGAATTTTCTCTGTGTATGATAAGTATGAAGTAATGATATTTTTAGTGCTCAAAGTGTTAGCTAGCTATAAAATGTAAGTTTCATCTAAAGGCGGGCTAGGAGTTGGTTGTTGATGGTTTTTCGATTTGAGCTGACGTAAGCTGGCGTTGATCACCCTAGCGAGGCCCCACTGTCGATCGAGTCAACAAACAAACAAACACTTTTACAGACTTTCTGGCCAACCAACACCACTGTAGGGGGTAGGGGGGAACACGAGCTAATAAACTAAAACGGTACAGTATCAGAGAAAGTGCGCCTATGGGCGGACTGTGTGTGTGTGCTCGGGCGCGGGTGCCCCTGCATGTGTGTGTGGGCCAAGAGAGCGAGCTTTGATAGGCGCAAAGATAGCACACACTCACACACTCTCCGGTTTCTCTATGGAGGGGCGTAATTGATGATGATTTTCCGAGGGTGTCTGTGTGTGTGCGAGTGTGTGCAACAACAATATCAACAACCAGAACAACAACACAGGCAGAAATCTTTGCGCAAATCAGTTACATATTTCACTTTGGGAGTTGCAGTGTGCCTGCGATGGCGATGCTCTTTTGACCCAACACCCCTGCTCCGCAATTCGTTTGCAGTAATGTACAATAAACAAAGGCACTGTGTACACAAATTTCCGTATTTTTATACAAGTGTAGTGTGTATACATATATTCGGTGGGCAATTAAATATTTACGTCCGCGAGCAGCTGGTTCGCAACTTCTCCCGGAACTCTCACTCTCTTCTCCGCACACCATATTGTGTGTTGGTGTGCACATGCACACACGCACACACACACACATACCAGCGTCTGGGTCAAGTGAAAATGTATTATTTGGCACTTTTCATATTTTCCCCATGCAAACGACTCGACTTTTTTCATCCGTCATATGTATTTCCACATTTTCACTGTCAATGTTAGCATAACTAACGGTGTTCGCACTTTCGCACACAAACAAATACATTTTCTTCTTTTTTTTTTTTGCTACCTTATTGCGCTGCCTTTCCTTGGTTTTCGCTTTTCCTTTTCCTTTCTATGTGTGGCCTTCTCCTTCGGGGACTCTCGCGATTTTCTAAAAAAAATCGTTTTTGCGTATTCCCTTTCGCTGCACAGCACTCTCACCGAAATTGATGGGGGAAAATAGGAAAAAATCTCACTAAAAAAAAAGGCATCACATCTTTTCGACTTTCGAATGCACCAGCACACAACAACACTCTGAATCGATTCGAATGCGATTGCGAAAATGAACAGTTAGTTAGCTGGGGCTCCTGTGGTTCCGTTGCGCCTCGCCAGTGGCTATATTTCCATGTTGCTCGATGCGATGTGCCTGTGCTCCCTGAACCCAAAAAACACCGTCAGCGCGAGCAAACGACGCACGCACGACAAGGACGTCCGCCGCACACGATACTTTGAGCCAGTGTCCGTATGTGGGAAAATGGAAAATGGATTTTCCTGCTGTTCTCGGCGACCCGAGTCGCCAGTCGCCAGTCGCCGCGAGAGAAGCGAGAGAGCTTATCGCCTCGGCGAGAGCGCCAGCGCCAAGTTTTCGATTTCGGTTCGGGTGGAAAAGCTGCGGTCAGCCCTATGGCAACGCGGTCGGGAAAACAAGTGCCCGCGGCCCCCTGGAAAGCGAGGGCCCGCGAACTTTGGCACTGGAAGGGGAAGTACTGGCACGAAACCACAGCTCCTTTCGACTATCGCTTTCCGTCCATCTCTATAGCGGTTGCATTACTCGTTGCTCGCCCTTAACTCGGCCGTTAGTTGTTTGAATAGCAACGATAGCGAAAAATATAGCTTAGACTTTTGGCTAATGGGAATCACATTTGGTTTACATATTCTTATAAAGGGCACAACTTGAAGGGTTAGCCATACGACAACTCAGTTAGTCAGAATTTTTAATATAATTATGCGATTGGTACGATCAATAAGATCCAATAAGATCCATTTCAATTTACATTGAAACATCATTTTCAAAAATTGTTTAACTTGCGCTGCTGAGAACCCCTAGAATCCGTATACTTAATTCCAACTTAATAGCTTTTAAAGTTATAAAAATGCCAACTTTTGATGGTTGCGACGGGCGTGTTCATTAATTAATCGACCCAATAAAAATTTATATTTTTTGTTTTGCTTGAAAACTTTACATCAAAATAAATAAATTCATTTTCATTTTATTTCAACTTAACTTATTTTTACCTTGGCCCTTAAAGTTATGCTGTATACTTCAATAGCTCTCATGTCAAAGAGGCGCAAACAAAAATATAGAAAAGTGTAGCATACTTTTAGGCCTGTCACAAATTTAAAGTAAACGAATTAAAGCAAGGGGAGTATTATCTGCAAACAGCGATTATCGAAAATTAAAACAAAGATATCAAAATTGTGGCGTTAAATGAATATAACAAAAACATAATATTTATTCGATTACATAAATATATGTACCTTTTAAAGTCTCATTTTAACACATTACCTTTTGAAATATTTTTTTTAATATTTAGTGCATATTTTAACCTGTTCTTCAAAACATTGCTAAAATTTAGAAATTCAATACTTAAGCACCGTTACTTGTTTTGAAATGAGAAATGTTGCCGTGTTTGTCCTTTGAAAACTAACGTGATATTCAAAAAGTATGCATCAAAGTATTTGTTTTGAAACCTGACATATTTCTGTAGCTTTGGTAGTTTAGGCATATATATGTAGCCTTTTCCCGCTAAACTACCGTTTTTTTTTGTATACTCAGCTATTTTATTTAATTTAAGGGATTTCAAGACAATTGGATACGCACAAACTGACATTTTCACAAATATGTATCACAAAATGGATCCAAAATCTTCTTATTTAAAAAAAATTTTAACGAATGACGAAAGAATTCTTATGTATTAAAATACTAAGTCACTTATCCACAAATCCCCAAATTGCTTATATTTTTGAATTGTAGACTTTTACACTTTCACCGCTCTTACTCTTGAACCAATTCGTTAAACCCGTCCCTCGTAGAGTATAGGTCTTCATTGTAAAGCATGTAACAGGTAGGAGGATGCGTTTCCGTCCCTATAAAGTATGTACATATTTTTTTGACCCAGGGCACTAGCCGAGTTGATCTAGCCATGTTTGTCTGTCCGTCCGTATAAACGCAGAGATTTCAAAAACTTAAAAAGCTGTTAAGTAAGATTAGAAATGCTGCCGAGATTTCAGCGCATCACAAATTTGTTTTATCCGAGAACCACGCTAACAAATAGAAGAGGTCTTTGGCGTCCAGTTTTATTGCTAGAATTAACATTTTAATGGAAATGGTCAAAATCTGCCTGGCGCCCACATTTTTCAATCCTACCGGCGCTCCAATAGATGGTTTGGAATTTTATTTTAAAAATTGGATAACAGAGTAACGGGTATCTGATAGTCAAGTCACTCAACTGAAGAGTTTCTTCTTATATCCTCCATAATTACCAACCAGCTTTGAATCAACTTTTATGAAACAACAGGAGATATGTTGCTCCACTAATATCGAAGCAAACAACTTTTCAAAGAACTTTGTTTTTTACTTCCGTTACTTACATACGTGCATTTTATAATCGGTATCTAATAAAAAGAGTTAGTTTGTGATATGTTTTAAAAAGACAACAAGAAATGTATTGAATAAGTACAATTATATAATTTACACATAATATTTGTACATATATTTTGTTAATTTGATACGCTTTCAAATCGAATGAAAAAATACGTTGCGTTCGTAACTTAAATTCCGCCCCTTTACCATAACTCTATTTGCGGATTCGTCTCGCGGATAATAATCTAATGTTAAATTTAATATGTGTCTATATGTCAAAATACACTAGTCAGTTTACAATAGTGTAGCACTAAATTTCCGGTGGACCGAAAATGTTTGTATTATGCATTTTGTCAATATTCCTTTTGCCAAATAAAAAACATTTATGCACTTTGGCCTACCCAAAGGACTAATTTCTAGCTACCCGTCAGAAAAGAGGAATACAACTAACCTACCTTACAAGTGGACCACAAAACAAAAGGTATCCAAATAAAGAAGTGGTTTCGAAAATTCTCTCTACATTAGTCATTTGTGTATTTACAAAACGTATGTGTTTTACCGATCCTTGTCCGAAATCAATTCTATCTTTCGCTGTTTCAATTGTTGTTATCGGACAGTGTTTCTACCAAAATTTTCCAGTTTCCCGGGCCTAAAGGAGTACACTTGTGGATACAGCTTTTGTACAAAAATAAATTGTTTAAAGAGAAGTGCGAATGTAAGTTATACGCCAAATTCCTATCTATGTATCTACTAGTAAACTAAGTAAAACTCATTAAAATCAGGTCATGTTTGCCTTTTGATCTTTGGCTTGATATTAAGGGTTAGTCCCTCTGCTTCGGTGACATCCTACCAAAGCAGAGACGAGGGTCTGAGTCCCGATCATTCCTGTAGCCGATTCTAGCAATCTCCTCACCCTGTAAAGTCTAAACTCATGGCTGTCATCGTCCCCAAATACCATGCTCTCCCCTCCTTACTGACTATGTTATCCGTCTGGATTGCGAAGTCTTCTAAAATTATCACAAGAAGTTGGCATTCGTGTGTTCAATGGCGCTTTGTCGGCGTCACATATAGGAGGGCGAGGACTTGCGGGATCGCGAGCGCGGCTTCGAAGGACTCTTCAGGCTGTGCCGCGAGCTGCTGCGCGGCTTGAACCCGCGATCGTTCCACGGCTCCGATACTCGTCCAAACCAATGAATCAAATCCATAACCTCTAGCTAAAAGGGTAACGGTTCAGTTTGCTATGATCGATAGGCATCGCTGCTCCGAAAAGCTCACCTGAAGGGTCTGTGGCAATTCCTTGAATATCTCACACTTGGTCAGTTGCGCATGTTGCGAAAGAAAGGAAAGGCATTTCGACTTCAAAGCAGTAGCCATATAGCGATCCGCAATGCCAAGAAGGCAGACCACGGAGTCCTCGTCAATTAAAGAGTACAGGGTGTTTTCGCACAGTTCCTGTTGGTTTGAAAAAAAAATGAAAGCTTGTTTGTAAGGTACTTGAGAACATGTGCATGCAATAACGCCCAATTTGTATTGTATCTTGTATTTCCAAAAATAAATATCACAAATTATAGATCAAATGAGCTCTATTGCATGCACCCCTTCAAACCAGCTTAAGTACCCTCCCCTACCTTGAGATCATCTATGGAGTACCGGTCTGCCAAGAGCATTAGTTCGCACACCTGCTCCGCGCCAACTGTACGATCGATAGGAGCACCGTAGAGGTAAAGCAGCAGGCGCCGGAATATCACGGGGGAGGTGTCCGTGATTATGACCTTTCGGTTGATGGACTCCTGCATGCCCGACATCAGGGCCTTCTTGAACCACTCACAGCGAGCCGCAACGATCACCCGGTGGGCCTTGAAGCTGTGCACCTGGAGGGCCTTCGTCGCAGGCTCGGCAGCTTCAGTTCCGGCCTCTGCCTTGCCGGCACTTGGGGTCGTCGCATAGGTGTGGACCTCGAACTCCATGTCGGCCAGTTGGGTCGAGTGCAGCAGACGCAGGGCGTTCTTCGAGAGATTGCTGCTGGCGGCAATGGGTGGCTCACAGAGATGTCGAATGAGGTTTAACTTTGGGTACAAACGAACGTTAGTCAAAAGCATTTTCCTGATGTAAGAGTTCATTACCTTAATGCTATTGTAATCATAATATTGTTTCCGATCCAGGTAGATCGGTTCCTTGTCGCTCAGCCCCTGGTTGAGGTTGTTCTCATGGTCAGCCATTTTGATGTTGTTAGTTAGCCGACTGCTGCTGTCCAATAGTCCCAGCTCAATCACGGACTGTGTGAACTCCTGTTTTCGCACCAGCAAACAGATCTGACTAATGGCGTCTCTCAGGGCATCCTTGTGGTCGAGTAACTTGGCAATGACGCCGTTCTGCAAACGAAATACCCGATGTAGTGGAGGACAACCATTCCAGGTATTCCAGCACTTACTATCTGACTGGTGGCCAGCTTGAAACAGAACTTGAACTCCTTCCAACCCAGCTTGTCGTCTAGTCGATCCGACAGGTTCTCCACTATGAAGATGTATGCGGGAATGTCCATGATCAGTTGCTCGAGGTTCTGGTTGATGGTGCTGCTTTTGCTCAGAAAATCCATTTCGCAGAAAGTACTCCTGCAAGGAAGGAGGTGATCAGAGGCCATAGAGTTACCCAGTACCAGATGAACTCACTTTTTGTCCTTGATTATTTCCAGGGCCGCCACGATCCGGCCATATATGTCGCGCATTTTCCGAACCTCGTACATGTAGAGCACGAACTTCAGGTCATTCTCCGCGGAGCTCAGGCGCTGCTTGTCCGGGAGATTGTCGTAAAGCGTAAGACCTACGGGAGCACCGCGACGAGGACGTGGCGAGGGTTCGGCCCCGTCCGCAATCTGCAATTGCATGACAATAGCATCGTCTGCCTGCTGTTGTTGTAGTGGGAGATCCAAGTGGGAACATTTGAGGTCCTGCAATTCAAAACACACATGTAGTCTATGGTATACCCTCTGCGAAGTCCAGTTCCAACACACCTTACACATGATTTCCAGCGAGTTTTTTATTTCCTCTATCACAGCGGTCAATACAAATAAGATTGATTCGATCTGTTAGGTGGATGAGATAGATCAATAATTGCCATTACTAGTAATGTGCTATCACAATCAGCTGAATTCACTTACTTCAGGTACAAGATAATTCACCAACTCGGCCTTTTCGTCGACGCTCAGGCCGACAAAGACTCCGAGTACGTTCTGCAGCAGCTGTTGAACCTGCGACATAAAAATTGGGATGCGGGTTCGGACATACTTGACGATCTCGTTCTTCTGATATCGGGTCATGTGAGTGGCGTCCGTGATGAAGATATTACAGAACTGAAGTACTTTGGCGCAACCTGCAGGAATGTGCACTCAGCAATTAGATCCTCTGGAAACAAGGAAACCCACTGACTCACCTATGGCACATTCGCGCAAGGCGTCCTGAAACGTCGCATAGAGCTGCGCCGGATCGCGGGTGATGTTACCGGGGTTAATGCACTGTATGACCCGGTTGAGAATGCCGTGCAGATCCATCGTAACGTTGACCACAACTGAAAGCAGAGCGCCAGTGGGATAAGTAGGATATATACAGGTGATACCCTGTAATGCATACATTTTTTGAGCCGTATCAGTCGCAGGTACTTGCGCGTCGGCTCCACCAGCTTGGTGAGCGACGGCTGCGACTCCGCGAAGCTTATTAGCTTCTCGCACACATCCTCGTCCAGATCCGGGAGCAGGGACTCCGTGTACAGCCAGTGGAGGATGGGGCCGAGCAGGAAGGTGGGCAGGTTACACAGAACGCCCACGGGAGTCAGCGGCGACGACGGCGGCGTGTCCATGGAGCTGGGGAATGGCGAGGGGCTGCGTGCCCGGTAGGGCGACAGCGGTGGCCTCCGAATGCTGCAGATGGCCAGCCCGGCGGTTGGTGGCAGGGGCGTGGGCGTGGGCTGCAGAATCAGGTCCTGGCAGAAGTTGAAGATGTTCTTGCAGTGCGACTGCGACGTTTCCAGGTGCGAGTCCGAATGTGAGGTGGGCGGCAGACGGTACATGCCACCACCGCCGCCGCCGCCGCCGCACTCGAGGCTCAGCAGACCCGTGGTCCTGACCACGGACGCCGCGTCCCCTGCATTGCCATTGCTCAGGCAGTTGAAGCTGCTGCTGAACTGATGCACTCGCTGGGCGCCCAGTCCGGACGACGGCATGGTCTGGAAGTCACAGGGCGGCTGCAGGTAGATGGGCGAAAGATTCAGGCGCGGCAGGGACTTGTCATGCCCGTCGTCATTGGCCGGCGCCACGGAAATCCTGATGGGATTCGGCGTGTTGGGGCCGCTGTGGCAGGTCCTGGCCGGTCGAGCGGAAGCCGAAGAAGGGGCACTATTGACACACATGCTGCAATCGAAGCCATTGAGCCGCAGTATGGAGGCGTGCAGGGCGTACTCCATGCCGCCGGAGCTCTTCACCACCACGTCGCTGAAGTAGGACTCCTGCAGGGCCTCGCCGAAGCTCAGCTGCTTCTCCTGGCCAGCAGCCTGGCCATCCTGCAGCCGCTTGCACTCGACGGCATACCAGTTCTCGCAGCTGAGCACCAGCGTGTCGGTCGGCGTCAAGGTGTTGGTCTGTGGGGCGAAAAGGTTACAGTTCTAGAGTCCTGGAGGCGATCCCGAGCCATTGGTACTCACGCTGAACTCAATGCTGTGGCCGGCGAAGGCTCCAAAGACAAGACGCGGGTTGATCTCGTGGACGTCGAACGTCTCGCAGCTGAAGAGCACACTGGCCGACTCGCAGTAGGTGCCGCAGTCCTTGCCCTCGGGCAGCGGACTGACCAGGTCATTGTACCAGGTAATGTCGCTGGTGTCGTCCAAGCGGAACTTGATGCTAAACGTAGAGGAGGGGATTGACGCTCAGGATGTTTGTGTTACATGTTTCGGGATGATGACTTACCCCTCCAGGCCGGAGAGCTCCCGCTTTCCCTCGAAGGTGCAGCAGACAATCTAGGATGTTCGGGCGAATATATGTTAGATGCACATCGGCGGCAGGAGATGGGGCAGTACTCACCTCCCATGTGCCCAAGAAAGTGTGCACCAGTGCCATGGCGGTTTTTTAGTGTCCCGGTTGGCGTTGCCTAATCTCGCGTAGAGCCATGAATCCTGGCCGAAAGCGGGTGTGTGTGTGTGTGTGTTGCTGCCCGAGTGGGCCGACGAAATGCAGTTTCCCTGGATACTGCGAGTCAGTGGGAAGTCACCAGTGACCACATTGCACGCTCCGCTTCTCGATGCTCCAGGGAGTCCACTTTTTACTTTTCCCGACTCTAGAAAGGACCTCTTCTGGATACGGGTTTCGATGTGCGAGTGTGCATTTGTATGTATTTGTTGTTGCCAACAACTGTAACTGCGCTGCCGCTGTTGCTGCTGCCTCCGCTCCGCCGCCTCTCTGCCGCTCTGCAAGGATTCCAGCGAGTCCTGAGTCCTCGCTGCGAGTCTCCAGCGCTCTCGCTTTCGCTCTCGCTCCTCCCGGCTGTTCGCTCTCGCATCCCTGCTTCCGCTGGCCCCTGAGCTTTGCAGCAGCTGACGAAGCTTCCACGGAAAAGCTTCGGGAAAGGATGTGGTACGTGGGTGGTTATGTACGGCAGGTAAGGACTCCCACGTCCGTCGAGGCTCGCTGGCGAGCTTTTCATTTACTCTTCCAGGGAATGTTTGGACTAGCACGACGCACGCACCTCATGACGTTGCACAGGACACGCATTTGACGCTTTCTATTGACGCAAATGCCTCTTGCACAGCACTCGATATGAAAAAATTTGATGGACTCATCAACTCAGTTTTAGTAATCCCTCATAAGGCATGGATATACCCCTTGCTTTTTGTTGGTATTACATTTTCAAACTGAAAACCCCTTAAAATTTTAACTGGTCTGAAAATATCTTCCCCAAAAATGATTGTCTGATTTGGTTTAAAATGGATTTACTATTTAGGTTAATCTTTTTTATTCCAAGGTTCATACAATTTAATTTCAATTTCAAGTACAAATAAAACATTTCATTTTGGCATGCTGGACATCACAATGGTAACCAGACTGTAAAATTACTTCTCGAGCTCGAAAATATAATGCAAAAACCGCAGTGTTCGCTCAAAATATAAAAAAATTGTTACATATTGCATATACTCCACGGATTGTAATACATATCAGGTTTTGGAAAATTTCAAGTCTTATCACCGTTACCTTTTAAACATATCTCGATTTTAGATTACAAACTTCACACAATAAAATATATTAATTCATGTTATAATTATTTTAACAATTAACACATATTTTGTTCTCCCTTAAGGAATTAATAGCAGAACTATGCTTTCAAAATAAAGGCATTAGTTAATCGAGTCGAGAGTATACACTTTTTTTGTACAATTTTAAAATTTAATGGAAAGATACAGTTTAAATAATACCGAAATAGGGCTGAACTTCACGACCTTGTTTGGATGGCTCTCTCGAAGCAGGTGCTAGAAGTCCAGAAAGGCATTGATGGCACACTGGCTGGTTTCCTGATCAAACTGTCTGTCCTCGTAGATCCGGATCCCATCCCTTGCTATGATATCTCGGGGAGAGAGCTGCAAGTAATGGAAGCAATTCAAAGGATTCCCCGCATAGTGGGTTCATAAGCCGAAACATACGCTGAGAAGCTGCTTGGCGCTCAGGTTATAGCCCTTATAGAGGGCAATCCTTTGGAGCGCCATCACGCTGCGAATCCGCTGACGTGGCTCGATGGTGAGCAGCTTGCGGAGCACATCCCTGCCCTCGTGGGCGAGGTCTTGCACCTCCTCCGGCAGGAAGTCCTCGCTGTCCCCGTCACTGTCCTGCAGGCAACCATTGATCTGGGCAATGGAGGGGGCGTTGGACAGACCGTCCTCCGGTTCCACACTTTCCCGGCGGCGTCGCAACAGGTGACGCTTAATGTTCGGCGACTGCAACAGAGCAGGTGGTAAGTATTGAAGTCAGTTTTCTAATCAGAGAGGTTTTGCTTAAGTATACTTTTCTGCGATTCTGGAAATTAGTCAAGACCCAAACCTACTTTCAAAATCGCTCTTCAAGTTGTATTCAAAAATATATAGAAGTAGGTAAAGAAAAAGAATCCAAAAATCGAATACCTGTAAATGTTGAACTTCTGATATGAAAAGCCCTATGTCTCCAAGAATTTAGACCTGTTTTCGAAGCGATGAGTAACCCCTGTTTGCTTTTTCCGCTTGTCAGCTATGCCAAAAAACAATAATTAGCGTCCGGTGACAACACGATCAACCGAACAATGCTAATGGTGGCGCCCTGAATCATATCTAAATAACCAAACAATTCGGAACAAACGCATGAACACGCAAATACGCAAATCACAAACGTCAGCTTATTGACAGTGCCAACCACATGTCTCGGGTACCTTGCCATGGAACTCAATAACGTAGAGTAAACAGAAACTCTAAACGACACTTACTATACCCTTGCAGATCCATTTAAATTAGCAGCATATTTGTGCATAATATCAGTGGTAGTAATAAATAACAGATCCATTACTTTCATCTACTAACTAACAACTATAAAGACTAACTCATTTTAGAGTTCGAGTCCAGAAATGTTCTTTGAATAATAATCTATGTTGTGTAAAAATCTGATTGATCACATAGCGTGAGAAATTAAAAAGATCACTATGTGCATTCTAAAATAAGAAAGAATCGTAAATAAGGCAGCCCCTATCTGCTTAAGGTATAATTTAGTCCGATTACTTAATGGGTATTTCAAGCCGAAATCTTATATGCAGCTTTGTAAACACACAAACTTGAAATGGTATGTAGCAATGGTATAGCACCAAATGATAATTTTACAATAGGTCACATTAAAATCAAAATATAGTATAGAATCTTTAACTGCGTGAGGCTAAATCAAGGAAGGTATTACATTCCACTGCTTAATAACGAGCTTAATCTGCTGATAATAAAATACTTTATATTTATATCATAAGGAAAGTGACTGTAGAATATTCTGGAAGGACTTAAAAATAAACTCCTAAATTTGAAAATTTTACAACAGGTCACTTTAAAATCAAAAATATAGTATAGAATCTTTAACTGCGTGAGGCTAAGTCTAGGAATATTTAATATTCCACTGCTTAATAACGAGCTTAATCTGCTGATAATAAAATACTTTGTATTTATATCATAAGGAAAGTGACTGTAGAATATTCTGAAAGGACTTATGAATAAACTGTGAAATTTGGAAATATTACAACAGGTCACTTTAAATTCAAAATATAGTAAAGTATCTTTAACTGCGTGAGGCTAAGTCAAGGAATATTTAATATTCCACTGCTTAATAACGAGCTTAATCTGCTGATAATAAAATACTTTATATATATATCATAAGAAAAGTGACTGTAGAATATTCTGGAAGGACTTAAAAATAAACTCCTAAATTTGAAAATTTTACAATAGGTCACTTTAAAATCAAAATATAGTAAAGTATCTTTAACTGCGTGAGGCTAAGTCAAGAAGGTTTTATATTCCACTGCTTAATAACAAGCTTAATCTGCTGATAATAAAATACTTTATATTTATATCATAAGGAAAGTGACTGTAGAATATTCTGGAAGGACTTAAGAATATACTATGAAATTTGGCGCTCAACACTCTTATATCTCTATTTCAAGCTGTAACTATGGTGATTTCCAGAAGATACATGGCGGTGGTAATCTGGATACCCAACTTGGATAAGTCGCAGGTCCATGTCTTAGATCGGCTCCGCTCAACTAGCCCGCAAAGCTCAGCTCGGCTCCACGAACGCTAATGCATGCAAATTGGATTCAATTAGCGGGCGACTACTTTTAAAATAGAAATAGACAATTTTTGTCGAGTTGACGTCGCTGATGCTGGACTTATTGTCGTTGTCGCCATGGAGAGTGCTGTAATACTCGCACTCTCACTTGCCGAGTACGTTCCAGATCTACGGTCACAAATGCATGTATGGGGAAAAATGGGAAAGTGGAGGAGTACTTTAGGGAATCGACGGGCGAATACTTATCAGAGGTACTACATTTTGTATAGAAAGTCAATTGAATATCCGTGAGTATTTGAGGAAGCCAATTTAGAAGTCAATATGGTAAAAACTTGTCAATTTCTATATTTATGACTACACAAAAAAAACTTGTAGGTAAAATTGACCAATACATTAGTTAAACGGTCCCAATTAAACAAATTGTCAATATAACCAACGAAAAAGTTACTCTCACAACAACAAAGTATACACACCTTTTCATTTTATGGTGGTTTTACTATTAAATAGTAACAAGAGCAACAATAAAATACACGTCACTATTTTTAACAGTTTATACAGTTGCCTAACTATCCGTATTGTTCAATTGTATCCATACAATTTTCAGTTCCTTGATCTTTACATTAAAAACTCGTGGTTTTAGTTGTACTAGAATGAAGGGTAAAACCCACTTCGATCAACCCCATACATAAAAGCAGCAGAATCTACATTAACTCCCCATTGAATAGAATAGCAAATTTCATGCAAATCTAATTTGACAAACGCAATTGTCATGTAAGAGCCACTTACTGACACTGACTAGCTGCTAATTACAGCGCTGCACTTGAATACTCGCATGTGCATACGTAGTTGCATGTGGGATGTGGATGGTGGTGGTGATGGTGATGGTGATGGTGGTGATGGAGGATGGTCCGGGTTCGAGTCCAAGCAAGACACGCACTTGAACTTAACTTGGACTGCGCCCGGGGAAGTGGGTGTCTCTCGGGCATGACCCAAAAATGCTGGCGACGGAGAGGAGTGACATTTATGATTGGATACTGTCACTTTCACATCGGAAAACGGCAGCAGGTGGCATTCGGGAAATGCCAGCGAATCGCAACTTAGTCATCCAGATCCATTACCAGATTCAAGGTGACTGCCTGCCTGGGTTATAATGGCAAATACGAAAATCAGTAGAGAAACCACTAGGTTAGGATGCATTGAGCGCTGGCCTAATGCCGAGAGATTTCGAAAGGTTTGACCTGCATTTGGAGCAACAAATTAAGCTTAATCAATGCGGCTGCGGCCGCCAACTGACAAACAACGAAAAGTTGACAAAGTGAAACAGTTTGGGTTGTGCTTAGAAAAATTAAATTAAATCACAGACGGGCGAGGCGAGCGGTAATGATCATCGGGTAGGGTGACAGGGTGACAGGGCGGTACAGGGACTGGCCATGCCACCTTCCTGGTTCGTTGATTCGAAAACAAGTTGCGAAATGAGATGGGACGAGCGCTCCACTGATTCTGCTCTGGTTCCCGCAGACGCTGGCAATCTCTGTCCATATTATATCTGCTTTGTCGCTGACAATGTGACGCATGGTAATTGTAATTGCCGGCACGTGAGCTGCCCGCTGTCAC